AATATCTATTTTTGGAAATATGCTACCAGAATAATAAACTACTTGAAATCTGATACTAAATGCTTGTGATGTCATTTTGATTAATGGAAAATTTATATACTTAAAAGACTTTGACTGCTGCAAAAGTACCTCATTAGTGAGAGAGTCAGCTGGACCCAGATGAAATAAGATGGCCCATTGAGTGCCATGTGTGGTGAAAATCAAGAAAGAAAATCTTATAATTGTATATACAGAACCTTTGAGAAGTGAACAAAGAGCCATCAAGATGTTGGGAGGCTAAATGTCTTCAAGTGGACTCACTAGCTGATGAGTCAAGTCATCTACACACTGATGGAACATAGGTTTGTGCAGGAGTGCCTAGTTGATACAGAACTTCACATGTAGCAATCGTGCAAAGGGCTACACTAATCAAGTCCTGGGACTTCACTTCCTGCCTATCCTACTTATTACGAAGTGACCTTCCCATGCTGTGTATAGGAACGGGACATTTATATCATGGATGCTCCGTTCAACATTTCTTGGAGGAGCTGAGACAACAAGAGGCATCCAGGGTTCAGAGACCAGTCAACAGGCACATGTTTGTCCAGCTCAACAAGAGGAATGTGACTACATCCCACAAGGCAGCATCTGCAACCTGGTGAAAAGCATGTGTTGTAGACAGTTTGTTTTGTTTCCAATGGTGACCAAGCACACTATCAGCAAGTGACTTTCACAGGAGACCTTGATGATCAAGACTTTCTGGCAAATGTTACTCAACATAATGAATTTAACTATTACACATGTCCAATAAAATATCAGTGCTACAAAAAAGATTATTTTTTCTGTAATTTTCCTGATAACTGTGAATGACTTGCAGTTATAAGTAATGCTTCTTTTGGTGTACAGCATATGTTGTAAAGGTAAACCGTTGTATAATTAAGAAATAAACTAAGTAAAAATAACTTTTGACATTTACCTATTAGCTACAGTACTTAGGACTCCAGCTAGTTAAGGTTAATTTAGTGTCAGGCAAACATAACTAATTTTTCAGGACATATATTTTTATTTTTTTCCCTGGAAAGCCCTAAAACTAAAGTTAATTTGAATGCAACTGACAATTGCTTGTGCTCAGGATCCATGGTGAAACAAGCATTGAAAACAGCCTTGAGA